TTTTTTTTTCCTTTTTTATATAATTTTATAAAATTCGATCGGGAAAGGTAAATGATACAACACTCGTTTGCGAAAATGGAGAAATTCTATCTCGTATTGTGGACGGAAAGGGAACGAGTTTCGATTTCAAACTCTTTACAAACTCGATTCACGTGGAAAATCGAACGTACCATATTGCAACATTGAATTTTATTTTTTCCAAAGAAAACAAGACGACGAACTCAACGAAAAAAAAAAAAAAAAAAAAAAAAATGAAATCATCCGTTGATTGAACATTTATTATTACATCGAGGGAAGAGGATTAAGTACACCTAATGGAATTGGCCGTTGTTCGTTTTACAGCGATGACAATCAATCGGTAATAACAATACTTCGGACGATCTCGTTCTTCATTCAAGATATTTCTACGTTCGAACGATCCGAGATTCCTTTGATCTCTACTTTATCCTATTTCGTTCTTATACCTCTTCTCGCTTCGTTTCTTTTTCTTTTTTTTTTTTTTTTTTTTTATTCGTTTTATCTAGAATTTTTAAACCATTTTCTTTAACTGTTTCTCTTGTGATTCCTTACCCTGAATCAGGGAGGGCGCGCGCGCGAATTACATGTCGCATGCATTGTAAAAAATAATACAACGTTGAGTCCAGGAAAGATCTGATGGAATCGGAGCACGTTAATCACGAGTCGAATCGTTTCCACTCCAATAGGGGATTAGAAACTGGTCGCGATGCTTCCATTAATTTTCTTAAGTAATAGGAACAAAAATATTCTTCTCTCCCCGCCGTTTCACCGGCGAGGTAAGAAACTTAAGAACTCTTGAATTCATTAAGCGCACGTTATTCACAATTAGCCTAATAGCACCGTTTAATTTGACGAATTCCTTTCAACCTCTAAATCTCTTCTGGACTCGATGCGCTCTGTACAGACACGGTGGAAACGTACGGTTTCTTTCTTCTCACGTCATATCATCCGAAAACATGGATTAAGTATTAATTACGCGCCCGTGGAAAGAGAGCAACCACCGTTAATTAGAAATCAAAAATTGCCAAGATCGCGAAGATCGGTCGAAATGACAAATTCGATAAAACCGGAACCGTTCGTTTCCGCCGTATTATTCTAATTTTCGCTCGAAAAGAGAACGCCGTGTCCCCAAATTCGGATGCTTATACCTTGCATTCTTGCCGGGCATATATTGTTCTTGTTTTACCGAACACCTGCGATCGTATCCATCCGCAAACGTTTCCACACACGCGGCCAATGCCAATGAAGCTCATTTACACGGAGAAAAGTGTTGTTATCGCTGCCACTCGCAACTTAATCGCGAGCACTCACTTGAAAATTAAATTACATCTGCTCGAGCGCCGTTTAATGGAGCTCGACGTTAATTACTCCTTTCTCCGTGTACTCTTCCGTAACGAGAGATCGCTAAACGGAAGCTCTTACACGGCTACCAATCGATAACTCTTACGCAAGAAACAGTACCGAATAAACAATGAACCGAGAAATATACATGTATATATGTATGTGTGTATAAAAAATGAAAGTAAAGATAGAAAAAGATGAAACTTGATGCTTTTTTTTTGTTCTTTTTTTTTTTTTTTTTTTTTTTTTTCTCTTGAAGGAACTATGATCGCGCAGAGATCGAAGAAGAAGGAGAAATCGAGAACGATCCAGCTCGGATCCTCTTTGTCTCCTTACGAAGCTTTGAACATTTGCGGATACACACGGCAATTAGATAATAACGTATACACACGTAATTATTTTATACCTATTGTGCACATTTATATGTATCGTTAACGTGTTTTCTGCTTCTTGTTAAGTTAAAAAGATCCGCCGACGGCGATCGCCACGACGGAACGTGTCTTTCTGAAATTAGAACGTGCCTACTAATATTAATATTGCGATGTAAACGCTGAATTGATTTACTGGGCTGTACTTTTACGTTGACAAGTAACATACACACAAAAGAGGAAAGCGTTGTTTGCCGAACAATTAGGACGACCATTTTCAACGGGCCATGCTGGAAAGTGTCTGCGCCAACTAAACGACGATCAGCGATTTCTTGATGCAGCGTGATTCCCAATTATTCTCCAGACAAATCGTGGATCCCTTCCAGTTTCACGTGGATCACGTGAGTATCGGTGCAATCCAATCCCAATCGGCTGGTCAGTTTTCTACATGCAGAGGAGAGATGTCTGTTTCTTCTTCATGGTGGTACACTGCAGCGGCGGAGAGAGTGCTCAACGTCGACGATGTTTCTTACGTATTTATCAAGTAATGGTAACACAAGGTGGTGTTAAGAAGGTAGCGGATGGTAACAGCGGTAGTAGCGATAATAACGCCATAAGATCGTAATGCTAGCGATAAGTAGTAGTTAAGTAATAGTAATTAATAAGTAGCAAGTAATAGTATAAGTAGTAATAGCGGCGCGGCATACGTATAAATAGGACTTTCTACGTTAGTTTAATTAAAAATAAATGTCATAACGTAATAGGTAACTTTATGCCGGACCCGTGACGAAGCCACTGCTTCACTGCTGATCGATCGCGATCGAAACAACGATATGCACGTATGTATCTTTTTTTTAAATCCGATCAGACGAATCGTGCAGCCGGTCGGCTAAGTCCGAGTCCTGCCTCATTCTTCTTCTCCCTTAGCTGTCTAGAATCACATTAACGCAAGAATAATGGTAATTACTTCGGGCCGGGTGTATTTCCGACCGCGTGACTTGGAAGACACTCACACGTTTCCAATGATACTAAATCCCATGCGATCGAGGAGATCTGGAGAGGAGAACAGCACCGATTAGCCTCGGATTGGCGAAGCTGGTAAGCCGAAGGGCACGGATATCGGATGAACAAGAGCACAGGGAATCGAAAAACCGAAAAAC